AAATGCGTTTGGTAAGCTACACAAAATTTACGTTCCCAAATAATATTTTAAATTATTTAATTTTTTTTTATCCATTTTCTTCTTTGGCCATGGCCGGTCACGGCGATCGGCGCCGGCCCACGACCCGGGCCGGCGAGGGCGTCACGGCCCTCGTCGGCGCCGCGGCGGAGGCGAAGGTCGCCCTCGCCGGCGAGGGCGAGGCGGACCCTCGCCCTGGGCCAGGAGCCGAGCCTCGCCGTCGCGACCTACGGCGAAGCCAACCTCATCGTGGGTCGCGACGGCGAGGCTCGGCCTCGCCAGGCTACGGGCGAGGCCGAGCCTCGCCGTCGCGACCCATGGCGAGGTCGGCTCGGTTGTGACGGCGAGGCTCGGCCTCGCCCGATCAGCGGCCCGGGAGCAGCTCGTCGCGACCCATTGGCGAGGTCGGCCTCGCCCAACGCGGCGAGGCCGAGCCTCGCCAGCGGCCGACGGGGCCGAGGCTCGCCTCGCTCGGCCGGCGATGGCCGCCGAGCCTCGCCGGCCCTCGGCGTGGCCGGTCGCCGGACGGCGGCGACCGGCCAGAAGGTGAAAGAACAACACCACAAAAAAGAAAAAGAAAATAAAAGAAAAACAAAAAAAAAAAATAATATTAAAAATTAGACGAAAAGTTAAGCAAATTTGATTTTTGATTTTTATGAAATAAAAACAATTTAAAAATAATTGGGAAAAAGGCTAAAGAACAAAAGTTTTTAGAAAGCGTTTGTTCACTATTTTAAGTAAGGAACGTTTGACCAAATTTTCGACCTTCTAGGACGAAATTACCAAAGGTGCCTTAGAATACTCTACGTAGGTTATGCAGCATACTATTCAGTTGATGACATGTGGCGAATCGGGCCCACCGGTCAGATTTTGCAATCCTCCATTACTCCACTTTCAGATCTTCTCTCTCCTTCGTTACTCTCTTGCTTCTTTCACCGTTTTCGTCCTTTTCGTTTTGCCTTTCGAGACCATGGACGATGCTCGCGTCTAGATTGCAGCGTCACCAGCCAACCATTGACGACCGCTCACGAGCACGCCGATGCTCATCCATGGCCGTCGTCGGCGTCGTTTGGGCATGCCATTGATCCCCTTGGGTATCCATCTTTCCCATCCACCATGGACGCCAGCCATGGACGACCCTCGCGGCCAGCCATGGACGACGCTAAGCCATGTCCATGGTCGTCGTTGGCATCGAGCAACGCCGGAAGGGACGGCTCGATCTGGAAGTTTGGCCAGATCTGGAGCCATGGCCGCGAGCGACAACGCAGAGATTATGGCCCCAAAAATAAAAGAAGAAACAGAAATGAAGCTCTGCTTCTGCATTGTGGGTCCATAATGGCGGTGGTGTGCTTCTGGTATGTGTACCAGAAGAAGATGGTGAAAAGCGAGTGAGAGGAAGAGGTTAACGGCGAGGAGATAATATTCAGGGAGAGAAGTAACGGTGAGAGAGAGAGAGACAGACAGACAGATGAGAGAGAGTAAAGGTGTTATAGCGGGACCCACCTTACCACGTGGCATTTTATTGGATGGAGTGTTATATCATCCCACGTGGCATATTCAACTCACTTAATATTTTCTCAGTCACTTACTTCTATCTTCTCGGTAGATGGGATGTTCATGACTGGATAAAGGCAGATCGAGTGCCATAGGTAAAAATTTTCGAAACGATGCATCTAATTGCCCCGTTATTGGTCAACCCAACTAAAGGTCGAATTTTGTGCTTTTAGCTTCTTAGGTTAACCTTAATAAGGTGCCCACATATGTTAATTTCGATTGGTTTAAGTCTTTTAGGGTAGTGCGATAAAAATTGGTCATGTAATGAGAGAGAATATAAAATGTTGTTGATGAGGGTGATTTTTACCAACCAATCAACCCTCGACACATGTCATTATCACGCTGACGGGTACATATGACATCAATAGACGAGTTCCGAGTATTCAATGTAGCGGAGACACCTAATTACCTGACATGATGATCTTGATAAGATATCGGTTTACTATTATTCATTGGAGTATACACTAGTGCTACCGCTATCTAAAAGGCTGCATTGATCTCTAAAACAGTTTGGATGACATTTGTTGCGCCCCTTTAGTCACTTGCCATCCATAGACCGCCACATGTCCAACACAATATGGCGACCCATCAACAATAACATATAAATAGTAATATGAGCACTTAGGCTCTGTTTGTTTAGTGGAAAATGGATGATTTGAAAAATATTTTTCTGAGAATGGTAGCTTGTATCACTTGAAATAAATGAGAAAATTACCAAAAAAGTCCATTTATTGCACTTGTGACAATTCAATCCTAAACCTTTTAATTTAACAATTTAGTCTTAAACCTTTTGATGATTTCCCAATATAGTCCTACAGGTCAATTTTAATTAAAAATTGCTGACGTGAACGTTTGTAATGCCACGTAATACGGTTGACGCTAATGTGGATAATTTTTTTTAATTTCTTAATTTTGAAAAACAATTGAATTTTTTTTATCAATTTTTTGTATTTTTTTTTCTTTTCCTTTTTTTTATACCAAGTACGACGAGGGCCAACCAACTCTCGCAGACCATCGGCAAGGGCCGCAACCCTCACCAGCGGCCGACAAGGGCTTTGCGGCCCTCGCCAGGTCTGGGTGAAGGTCGTGACCTTCACTCGCGATCGGTGAAGGCTTAAGGTTGGCTGGCCCTCATGGAAGAAAAAAAAAAGGAATAGAAAGAAGGAAAATAAAATGAAGAAAAGATTATAAAAATTGTCTGCATTAGTGTCGGTTGTGCCACGTAGGGAGCTGGCATCCACGTCAGTGATTTCCGACTAAAATTGATTAGATGGACTCAATTGGCACGATTAAAAGGTTTATGACTGAATGGACACAAGTGCAATAGGTTTAGGACTTTTTTGGTATTTTTCTCTGAAATAATTAGCTAATGGAAAATGATTTCATTATCGACAATAATTTATGTGTAAATATTTTCACAAACATGGAAAATATTTTTCATTCATTCGTTTTGTAAGCGATATAAGCGATCATTTTTAAGAAAACATTTTCCATAAGCGATCATTTTTCCAAATAATTCATTTTTCGCGAAACAAACGCACCCTTGGTACTCTTTCTCTCCCACTTATTCTCTAGGGATACACCTCTCTTCTCAACCTTAAAGCTCATACACTTTCTCTCTCTCGCTCCTCATCTTCACTGACTTAAGCAATGGAGGACCAATCCGAATACAAAACCTGGACGCCCGGATCCAATGACAAACTGCTTCACGAGTATCATCCTTGTCAACTGGGTCGTGGTTGCGCACAAACGGTCGAAGTTCGTAGGAAGTATTTGAAAAGTTGGTCCAAGTATGAGATCCGTTGCCTAACTTTCAATTCCTGTCTAACATTCAGGAAACTAATCCTCAAAGGACCATTATAACTTTGGAATCTTGTTATTTGCTCGGGACTGTTCACTTCCGTTTGGTGGCCGGGTATCTTGAAATTTCTTTGCTCATGAGGTATAAAGACTCGATGATAAAACTAATCGAAAAGAAGATTTATTGAAAAAATGATATATGCACATGCATGTGAGAAAAATAAGTAAAAGTAAGCGAAAAGAGAAATATAATAATCTTCAATGGATTAATTGTGTGAATATACTTAGCAAGTGTCTCGGAATATTCGTTGATGGGTAAATCATAGTTTGTGGACATAATTGTTTCGGGGGAAGAACAGCATTGGTGCCAAAAGTTGTGTACGGAGCTCACTTTGGTGTCAAAAGTTTCATTTGGATCACTTAAGTGCCAAATCGGAGGAAAAATGATCACTTTGGTGCCAACGGCGAGAAATTTCGGCAAAATTAATACGTGGCATTTATAATTAAATTTTTAATCTTAGTTGGATTTTTTTTAAAAAAAATTAGTCTACGTGGCATTTCCACGTATATATTTCGATTTTTTAAATACTTTTTTGAATTTTTTTTCTTTTTTTTCTTCTTTTCTTTTCTTTCTTCTCCCTTTGGTCACCGCCGGTGACCGGAGGCCAGCCACCGGCCGCCTGGCCTCGCCCGGACGAGGCCGCCGCCGCCCGCCATAGGCGAGGCCCGCCGACCATCGCCCGGGCGACGACGGGCAAGCCCCGGCGAGGTCGGCCTCGCCTCGCATGGACGAGGGTGAGCCCGGCGAGGCCGGCCGTGGCCCGAGGCCGACCTCGCCGGGGCTTGCCCGCCGTCGCCCGTGCGAGGGTTGGCGGCCTCGCCTCGTGGTGGCGGCAGCGGCCTCGTCCGGGCGAGGCCAGGCGGCCGGTGGCCGGCCTCCGGTCACCGGCGGTGACCAAAGGGAGAAGAAAGAAAAGAAAAAAACAAAAGAAGGAAAAAAGAAAGAAAAGAAAAAAAAAGGAAAAAAGAAAAAAATATATTTAAAATAAAAATGCTGACTATATGTGCTGACTGTATCTCCGGCGAGCCACATCGGCTTCAAAAATTAATAAAAAAATGACACGTCGGATTTCCGGCCAAACTAACCTGAGTTGATACTTAAGTGATCGTTTTTCAAAATTTTTGGCACTTAAATGATCAAAATGAAACTTTTGATACCAAAGTGAGCTCCGTACGGAACTTTTGGCGCCAATGATGTTCTTCCCCCCAATTGTTTCATACCGACAAGTCAGTCTCCTCCCTCCACCTAAATCCCAATGCCTAAAAGTCAAACCCACCGGACGTGGCAAGTAATGGGACCACGACAATATGACCTAGGATAGTGCAAAAGGAAGTAACTATTAATTAATCAAGATCTAAGTTTAAGTGAAGCCAAAAGTGAAAACCTCTTCTATCAATGGTCTTTAATTCATCATCCACAAGAACCATCCTGAGGAAAAGGAATTAATATGGCTACGTAAATCTCAATGCCGACAAGTCAAACCCACGAGACGAGACCCAGGCCACATAACCTAAGATAGTCGAAGAGAAAGCAAAGCGCAAAAGGAAGTAACTATTCGCCAACCAAGATGTCATTTAAATGAGGCCAAAAGTGAGAACTCTTGCGGCATTGCTCTTTCGTTCATCGTCCACAAGAACCCACCTTGAGGAAGAGGAACGAAGATGACGGCAATGGCGGTCTGCGCGACGAAGCTCTCGATCTCTGCTTTTGCTGTCTGGCTACTTCTTCTCGCCGCAAGCGTCGTGCACGGCGAAGTTCATTACCATGATTTCGTCGTGCGTGCTTCCCTTCTTCCTAAAAGAAAGCGAGTTTAACTTGACATCGTTTCACTTCCTTTAAATTTTTGAAGCTTTCTCGTTGGTTGATGTCTCATTAAGGGTGGCTATTCTCTGGCTAGTAGATTGAAAAGCAATAAGTTATGTATACATGTTTGTTGATATACGTGACGCGGTTGTGACACAGCTGAAGGAGAAAAACTACACGAGGCTGTGCAGTACAAAGAGCATGCTGGTCGTTAACGAAAGTTTTCCAGGACCGACCATTTATGTGAAGAAAGGGGACACTCTGTACGTGAACGTATATAACCAAGGTAGCTACGGCATCACTATACACTGGTAATCTCTCTCTCTCTCTCTCTCATGTCAGTTTAAGAACTTTCATTTTTACAGCAGAATGTTCTCCACGAAACATGGAGCCTCAATCTCATTCTCATTCTCGTCCTAGGTGTGCTATCCAGCATGAAAGTTTGTCCCGTGTGTCAGTTTTTGGTATTGATTCCATGAATCGATCTTAGTATACCAAGTTTTAGATTAAAAAAAGAATCGGCGAAATGACGGTTGATCCCTCTACTTTTACCTGAAAATCAAAATCGCCCCTCTACTATTTTTCTTTGGTTCAAAATGTCCATGTACTTGTTTGAATTGTGATACCGTTGGCCCTTTTTTATACTTCTTTTTTATTGCTGATCAATTTTCGCTGACGTGGACAACCGGATTGCTAAGTTGGACGTCGGACTACGCGTGTCTTTGATGATTCACAAAATTCTTTTATTTGAAGAGAGAGAGAGAGAGCTCGCGGCCATGACTGCTCGAACTTCGTCCACCTTGGTCATGGCAGTGGGAACTTCTTCAAGCTTGTGACCATGGACGCTTGAGCTTCGTTGAGCTTGCAGGCGGCTAGGACTTGTTTGAGCTTGTGGCCATGGCCGCTATGGTTGCTCGAGCTTCATCAAGTTTCGCCATGGCCGCTTGAGGTTTTGCAGTGGTGAGGATGTTAGAAATTATGGGTATTTGTTCTGATCATGTGGGTTTTAAGTTGAAGGAGAACAAGGAGGAGGAGAAGAAAAAGAAGAAGAAGATGATGATGATGATGATGATAGTTACAGAGAGAGAGAGAGAGAGAGAGAGAGAGAGAGAGAGAGAGAGAGAGAGTATTGGAGATAGGAATAAAAATCCCACTCAACAAATTTTTAATGGCATTAAGCCACGTCAACGAACATCTAACGACGTTAACGCTGCGTCGGCAATTATACCATCGGAAAATTCCAGAGATTTACCGACGACACTTTTTTATGACACTTTTAAGAAGTATAGAAACGGTTTTGAACCAAAGAAAATAGAGAGACGATATTGATTTTCGGACAAAAATAAAGATACCAACCATGACATTTCACCAAAAAATTCCACGCCTGGGATGGATTCGAAGATAACGAGGATACGAGAGATGATTGAGAAAAAATAGAAGCATGTATTTGTACATCTGTTGATTTATTCCACGAGCTTCGTATTTTTAGGTTGATATGGTGCTTGTGCAATATTAGAATATTAAAATCATACATTCATATAACGGTTTAGATTTTCAGAACAGTTGGTAGCGATCTCACAAAATCTCACATGATATCGAAGAACGAACTCTTGAATTCAAATCTTTCTTGGCTCTCATTTGTCTCTCTAAGTATATATTTCCACACTTTAAATTTAGGCCAAAATCCAGTACGCGCACGTGAGAGGTAGCATTAGAATATGTAAATATAAAATTATCCATTTATCTAACAGTTTAAATAAATAAAGCTGGATTTAATCATTGTGATAATAGTACGTGAAAGGCTGGATTCAATCATTGTGATATTAGCACGAAAAGTTAGGTACACAGTAAAAGACAATGATTGTGGTAAAAGTATTGCGATAGCCCATCTGGTCCACCATATCAATCTCGCTATTTTGTTCCCCCAGCACTTTAAAGAACCGGTGCTAATATATGAACCCACCATCAAATAATTTCACATCAAATTCGCCTTAAACCATAAACCTATGCTAAATATTTTATATCAATCTCGCTATTTATCATTCTTGCTAGGCATGGAGTGAAGCAGCCGAGAAATCCATGGTTCGATGGGACCGAGTACGTGACGCAATGTAGAATTTCGCCGGGGACGAATTTCACGTATCAAGTTTTGTTTTCGGAAGAGGAGGGGTCGCTGTGGTGGCACGCCCACAGCGAGTGGGCAAGGTATAGTATTCATGGCGTCATTGTCATCCAACCTGCCGACGGAACGTCCTATCCATTTCCGCAGCCTGACGGCGAGAAAGTGATAGTGCTTGGTATGTACCGCGACCTCACCCTATAGTTTTCAAGCAGTTTTATCTCTTTAATGTGGCAATGTTACTGGATACTTTTGTAGCGTCCTGGTATACGGAGGATGTTTATGCGTCCATTGCGGAGAGCATTGCCGAAGGGAGGGACTTACTGGCGTCTGAGGCTTACACCATCAACGGCGAACCTGGCGACTTCTGCGATTGCTCCAATGGTACATACTCACATTGCTTTGATTGATGATCGTCATGCCATTGTCAAGAGATTGCTAGTTTCATGATAACTCTTGATCTCAAGTTGATGCTTCGTTTGCATGATATGTGTTACCACTAAGGCTGCGGATTCACTCAGTTTCTTTGTTTCTTTTCCTCGTTCTGTAGAAACTACGTACAGGTGGGCGGTCGAGTATGGCAAGACCTATCTCCTTCGCTTACTTAACGCCGACATGAATGCTGAGCTCTTCTTCGCAATCGCGGACCACAAAGTCACCATCGTTGGATCTGACGCGGCGTACCTCAAACCTTTTTCCTCGGAATTTGTCTTGATTAGTCCGGGACAAACCATAGACGTCCTGCTCACGGCCAATCAGCCTCTGGGCAGGTATTACATCGCCGCCAGGCAGTACTATAGCAGCATGTTCAAATACAGCGGGTACGATCACACCAATGCAACTGCGATTCTCGAGTACAGTGGGAACTACACTTCCCCGTCAACTCCCGTCTTCCCGTCCGGTCTTCCACCGTACACGGACTATGAAGCCGCCACAAGCTTCGTGAAAAGCATGAGGAACTTAATCCATCCCGTTGATATTCCTATGAATATAACCACTCGCATGTTCATCACCGTGTCGCTCAACCAATTCATGCTCAAAATCAATGATACGACTGAAGAAACTTACCCATCTGCGAGCGTAAACAACATCAGCTGGTATAATCCTTGGACCGACGTACTACAAGCATATTACAGGTTAGCTGTACTAGATCGTCATTATTATGATTGTCATTCCTCAATGCTCAAAATGCAAATATAGGTTAAAGGGACGAATGTAGATGTTTAAATTAATTAGCGAATGCAAAGTTCGCTAAATGTGATCTCATTTCGAGTAATGTTTCTTTCAATCGTGCTATATATCAATTGCAGGAACGTCAGTGGCTTCTACACGACGGATTTTCCAGACGATCCACCAACTTTCTTCAACTTCACCCAACATAATTTGCCTATGAACACTACGGTTGAACCGGAGAGAGGGACCAAGGTGAAGGTCCTCGAGTACAACGAGGAGGTGGAAATAGTGTTTCAGGGCACCGACGTGATGAACTCGTCCATTAATCATCCGATGCATCTCCATGGCCATAGCTTCTATGTGCTTGGTACGGGTTTTGGCATCTATAACAACGAGACCGACCCTCGAACGTTCAATTTGGTCGATCCTCCTTATCAAAACACTGCTTCAGTACCCAAGGACGGATGGCTTGCCATTAGATTTAGGGCAAACAATCCCGGTGAGTACAATACAATAACACTTGGTCACCTTTTCCACTCCTCTTCAGCATCTTTTACCTTGATGGCAGGGACAAAACTTATGCTAATCGAATCTTAATTTCCATTCCTAGCGTCGAGTAATATCTTTTTAGGGTTATAAATCAATCTAAGCCCAAAGGTTAATGCTTTTGTGTTTCTCTCAGGAGTGTGGCTATGGCACTGTCACTTAGATAAACACTTCACCTGGGGCATGAACGCTGTGTTCATCGTGAAAAACGGTGGCACTGAGGACACGAGCATCCGCGATCCCCCGGCTTATATGCCCCCGTGCTATCCCGACAACAAACTTTGGCTCGAGGAGTACTCCGATTCGGACAAGAAGTTATACTCGACTTCAATGTGATCAGACTTGATACCTCTTTGAGGCATATGCGCAAGAACTCTCTTCCTTTGCTGCCGTAAGCATTTCTGGTAAATAGTTGCATCAGACGTCGGTCATTGAAAACAGTTTGATTGTGCCATTATATAAGTTAATAACTCGATTTAGTCCACTTATCGGCATAATCGAAGGTTCATGGCTATGGAAGCCCTTGGTCTGTCTTATAACGAACTTGAGATGATTTTTGGTTCTTCTGTGTATTCTCTGATTTTTATCATATTATTAGGTCTGTTCTGTTCCACCCCTTATTGGCTCCTAACACTCTCTCATCACGTTGAATTGACTACATTATTTTTTGTGAGTCCCACTTTCGATTTAGGATTATTCGTACCTTCTTTCTACATTTTCTTTTTGTTCAATTTTATTAAAAAGACAAAGCTACCCACATTATTTCTTGAGGAAATGTTATTGTTGTTGTGATTGTTGTTGATGTTGTTGTGATCATTTTTATTCATGGACTATAGTTGGGTCGGGCCTGTTTATGTGGAGCCCATTTTTATGTGCAGTTGGCCTAGACGCAAGGCCCTTGGTTCAAACCAGGGACAATGAAACTTGCACCTTGTTCGCATTCATTATTAGGGACGAGCAAGATGGATCGCGCAAACTGGAACCGGACTGACCGGTTTGGTCCAGTTCTCGGGAGTATCGGTCCGGTTCCCGGTTCTAGGGTAAGAACCGGACCAACCGGACCGGACTGATAAATATATAGTTTTCTAATTTTTTTAAATATACATATATTTAAATTTTAAATTTTTGAAAAAAATAGAAAGCTTAATTTAATTTTCCTAATTCCCTCTCGCCTTTACCAATAAGTGATTGGTCCTATTGGAACCGGATCGGACCGGTCTACGGTCCCAAGACTAGCCGGTCGAGTCCCCGGTCCTATGTTGACACCTAATTTTTGCCTATCCGTTTAAGGTTTAATTGCACGAAAATTAGGGATTAATTTTTAGTCCCTAAACAAAAATATTTTCATTAAATTACATGGCACATAGATATTAGGTGCCTTTGCATTAATATAATTTAGCGAAACAGGTTCTTCCTTTTTATTCTATTTTATTTTTATTTTTATTTTATTAGAAAAATCATCATAAAAAAAAAAAAAAAAGAAGAGAGAGAGAGAAGACAAAAGAGGAGCTTTTGCTTTCCCTCTGGACGCGCTCACAAAAAAAAAAAAGAAGAAAAGGGGGAAAGGACACAGAAGAAAGGGCACGGCGTGTTTTCGCGAAGAAGAGACAAAGTAAAAAGCTTATCAGAAGAGAGATAAAATAGGGAAGAGCTCTCTTTTCTCCCTTTGGTCAAACACACGTCCAGAACAGGTTGAGTTGAGAGTGAGAAGGGGGGGACCGAGAGTGAGGCCGCGAGTGAGAAGGCCGTGCCTGAGCCCCGGCCAACGATGTCCGCCGACGCTCCCTTTTCTCCACGCCCAAAACCTACGGTAGGTTTTGGTTTTCCTTTTTGTTTTGATTTCTCAGAGGCGCGCGAGGCGACCGGACGTACTCCGAATTATCGAGCTCGCCCATTCGCCGTCGTCGAGCCGGGCAGGGACTTCTGCGTTCAAACGCTCGCTCCGCAAATATTTATTTATTTATTTATTTCTTTTTTTCAACTTGCCGTGTCTTGGCCGGACCGTGAAACCAAGGCTCATTCTTTGTCTTGGGATTCATAGGCGTACTGAGTTTGGATCTGTTGATGTGGTTGCTTTTGCTTGTCGCGGTATGACTTTCTCTGGGTCTAGATCTGAGTCTGAGCTCAGAAAATGTTAAATTCCGTCTCCTTAGGGTGCGCATGGAATGCATTCCCGAATTAAAATTCTGTTCCGGAATGCATTCCGGAACAGAATGGCGTTTGTTAAAAAATTTCCGGAATGCATTCTGGAGCGATTTTTCCATTCTGAAATAAAAATACATTTGTTAAAAATATTTGATTCCAGAATGCATTCTTGATTCCAGAATGCATTTTTTATTCCAGAATGAGTTTTTGGCAAGAAAAAGAGAAGCTACTTTTTGTAGTTTCTTGATTCCGGAATGCATTTTCCCTATTTTCTCACAAATTTTTTTTTTTTCAGAAAATGCATAAAAATTGAAAAATTCTAGAAAAATTCATAAAAATTTCCAGAAAATAAAAAAAAGTCAGATTTCGGGAAAATATAAAATTTGGTGAATTTTTTTTTAAAAAATAAAATCAAAAATAAAAAATTTCAAAACTTCACGGAATAGCTTAAAACACATGTGGCCACCCATTTTGAGTGAAATTTAAATTTTTTGAGGTGCCCAAAAGAAAAATCAAAAATTTCAAAACTTCACAAAATGACTTAAAATACATGTGGCCACCTACTTTGAGTGAAATTAAAAAATTTTTGCGGTGCCCAAAAAAAAGAAAAATAATAATAAAATTTCAAATTTCAAAACTTCACAAAATGGCTTAAAATACCTGTGGCCACCGACTTTGAGTGAAATTTAAATTTTTTGAGGTGCCCAAAAAAATAAAAATAAATAAATAAATTTCAAAACTTCAAAACTTCACTTAGAATACATGTAGGCACCCACTTTGAGTAAAATTTAAATTTTTTTAGGTGCCCAAAAAAATAAAAAAAAATTCAAAACTTCACAAAATGGCTTAGAATACCTGTGGCCACCCACTTTAAGTGAAATTTAAATTTTTTTAGGTGCCCAAAAAAAATCAAAAAATCAAAAATTTCAAAACTTTACAGAATGGCTTATAATACATGTGGCCACCCACTTTAAGTAAAATTTAAATTTTTTTAGGTGCAAAAAAAATCAACAAATCAAAAGCAGATTTCTGTTCCAGAAATCAATTTCTGGAGCAGAATTAGTCATGTTTTACCAAACAGATTTCTCCTCAAGAAATCAATTTCTGGCAAGAATTCCAGAAATCAATTTCTGGTAAGAATTTGATTTCTGGAGCAGAATGGTTACCATTCTCACCCTTAACATGCGCACACCGCAGGCTCGACCAAACGTTTGAACCAGACTCACACAAGCTCGTCTCTGTACCATATATACGAACTGACCACCGGGTGTTTGTAATAATGTCTGAATGAAGCTATGTTTTTGTTTAAGGAAAAGCTTTTGAACCAAAACACTTGGTCGCGCATTTCATTACTTAAATCGCAACGTTAGTCTTCGCTTCGTCCATACCGCATTCATTCTCTTGCCGCATCCTCTTCGCTCTTTGTTGCCTATCATTATAGTTGTTAATGGCCGATAATGGAGAACACATGGATTCGGTTTGTTGGACTATCAAAATGCACGTTGGTTTGTGATGCCCGAAGATGATGTTGGGTTTGCGTAATTTTCTGAAGTGTGATAAACGCTTTCATTGTTCCGCGTTTGTGCTCCTTGGCTCTCTGTTTGTATGTTGTGGCTGGATGGTCGCTGTGACGAATGGAGGTGGCGGACGGCAGTGATGGACAATCCCGAGAGAAGGATGGTATTGGGTGGGTTCGGGGATAGATAGCTTGAGAGTATGGTGGGGGCATAGGTTATTCTGTGGTTTAAAATTCTTAATCAATGATTCTCGGTTGATTCGCCCGAGCCTCCAGAATTTTAGTTTATCCGTCAAAGTGTTGTTCTCGGTTTGCAAGAGGAACCTTGAGCTTGAGCGAATCAGATCCGTGAAGGGTGAAGGGCAAGAAAAGTAAATGGTTAAGTGGGCTTAAGTGGGGTTTAGTGGTCTTGGACTCAGTCTAGTTAATTGAATTTTGACCTGCATTGGTGTCTTTTTTTTTGCTTTTTTTTTTTTGGGGTTCGAATCGGCTTTGGGCTGATTGCGGTGGTGATTTTTGGGCCTTGTCTCCTGTTAAAAGCGGGTTGGGTTCAAGTCAATGAGTCCACTTCATTTCTTAGCTTTTTCCTGTTTTTGTGACCCAAACCAGAAGGTCTTCTTCAATCATATTTCGGGACTAGGTCCCGGGATCCGGCCCAGGTCCTGGATTTTAGTTTCAAAAAAAAAAATCATTTTTATTTCAATATAAAAAAAATATTTTCAAGAAAAAACTTTTTTTTTTGAAAACCTTTTTTTAAATTAGGAAAAAGCTTTGAAAATTTTATCCGAAAAATCGAATAAGCCTTTAGGGCTTTTGATTGCTTTTTCTTTCCTAGAAATAGTGCTAGTCCGTTGTTTGCGCATCTCAATTTTAATTATGACTCGATTACGCATTTTCTATGTATTGATTGTTGCTTCCCTTAGCTTGGCTAGGGATGGAATTTTGAGACTCCCAATTAGTGTGAACATGTCAGGCGGTGATTGAACAAGGTTAGGTACCGAAAGGGCACTAGTTGGTCAATTAGTGTAATCAAGTCCTCGTACCCATTGAATCTCTGGTTCGTAGAAGTGAAGCATTTCTCCCGTGCTTTACTTGGGTGTCTAATCGACCTACCAAAAACTGATTAGTGGCGACTCCTAAACGAAATTGATTCTCATGTTAATAACTTAAATCTAAGTCGCGAATTGGTACGGTCTTGGGAGAGCTCGAGCTAAGTTTAACTTAGTAATCTATTAGTCAAACCCCCTAGGTGGCGAGGCCGGTTTAGGGAGGTCGCGACATCCTATAAACTAGGAACCGATCCTCCCGGTCCGGTTCCTGATTCTTGGGTTGGACCGGATCGGACCGGGAACCGATCACCCCTATTCATTATTTCCCATGCATGACCAAAGAATTTTAAGCTTTTTTATAGTCTCTGATTTTCAAATCATATGTTGAAGTGACTTTTGATAATTATTTACGCCTTTCCCGATGAATTAAGGAATGGTATTTATAAGTTAAATCGAAAAATTACATCTCAAATTTTTTGAAAGTTAAAAGAACGTAAACTTACGGTTAAAATCAAAATTCACCTCAAAGAAATTCTTACATACTCAACGGTTCAGTCCTTCATGAGGGAAGTGAGAGCACTTTTCTTTGACAAAATAGGGAATATGTGCATAAAAATAAATCCCGAAACTTGTCTTGATGGTACATTATAGTTCCAAAGCTTTTACATAGTGCAATCGACTTCTAAAATTTATCCAAATTGTCGATCAATGTCATTCCGTTAACTATATTCAATTTGAATGACAGAAAACAACAACACAACATTTTTTTTCTAATGTTTTAGCGCATGTGGCGCTGATGTGCTGCCTAAGCCTCACAAGAGGAAAAATAGACAAGAAATGAAAGGAAAAAAAAGCCTAAAAAGCTAAAATAAAATAAATAAATAAAAACAGAAACTA